TGAAGTCCACAAGTCTTAAAGTTGCCAAGGTTGGAGACCTCTGCTTTAGACTCTCCATCTGCTTCTGCTCCAAAAGAGATATCTCCCCCTTTGACCTCCTCCTTCTGCCCTAGTTCCTTTCAGAAGTTCTGTTCTCAAGGAAGCCCATTCCGAACAGAGGATGAGGATGAATGAGATTCTTCTAGCAGCTCTTTGAAACATCGCACCAAAGGCAGGAGTTGGTTTTTTTAAAAAACTTCCCAGCCTAGTACAAACCAGCTTATCCTACTTAGGGTTTCTCCAGATCAACTAACTGCTTTGTAATAACAAATACAACCCATGATCAGGTTAATCATCACATGAAGCTACCTTATGCAGGTTTACAGATCACCTCCCCCTCCTCTAAATCCATCATCAGCTCCAAAAAAAACCCCACCCTTGAAATATTCCTACCAGCTCTTCTTATTATTCCCATCTTGCCGGCCCATCCCATGTTTCTTTCATCGCAACCAAATATGTTGGCATTCTAATGAAAGGAGTCACTTAATCATGCCAGCCTGCCAGCTGTACACATATTATATGCTGGGTCAAGTTGAATGCAACTTCAGTGTACACACCCCTCCCTTCCAGATGCATTAAATATTCACAACCATCACACCAGTGATGTTCTCGTACCAAACCAAGTAACAAAGAATGACACTTGAAATCGATGTGATCTTCAACAACAACAAAACGTGGGTCTTGTTTGGATGTTAAACAACCAGCCGGACCCTCCTCACTTCTCTGAGCTCCATTTTATTTTCCGAATTTCATCTCTGGCTACTGCTGAATGTATTTTTCCAGCCTTTTTTTTTTTTTCTGGCCTCTGAAGGGGGTTCCTTAGTTAACTGTTCCTCTTATGAAAAACTGGTGGGTGGGTGTGGGAATCAGGCTGGCATTTTGTTTTTAGGCTCCCCATCTGGTTGTGTTGTTATTGGAGATTGTTACTTATGATCACGATAAGGATGATCGTGTTTCTGGAAATGCCCAAACATCACCAAGGAGGAAAGAGCGGCTTATTGAAAGAAGAGGAGGATTCAAACAGATAGTGAAGTGGAATGGTATTCAGTACTCTGGGCTAACAAGGTCCAGAATGTTTATTTTATAAAACTAATAATTATCTCTAGCATCCTGTAACCAGTAAAGAAGCTTATAGAGAGGCATTTACCTTGTAGGTAAGAACGACTCTGATAGCACCTTTTCTGACATAAGCAAATTTAATTAAAAGGCATAAGCATTCGTGAGCTGAGCTCAGCTTCTACATTTTAATACAGTTTGTTAGTGCATCCAGGCTCCTGACAGCGTCTTCTAAGTTGGTTAATCCTTTCCCTGCCAATTTTGATTGTTTATAATCTGGTTGCTGGGATGCTATTCTTGGAAGTGAAAGATGCATTTATCTTACAGGTAGTCCTCGATTTACAAACCACAACTGGGATCCAAATTTCCATGGCTAAGCAAGGCAGTTGCTAAGTGAATTGTGCCCAATATTCTTATTTTTTTTCCCCCAGGGTTGTTAAGCAAATCGCTGCAATTGTTACATGAATCACAGAACAATTAAGCAAATCCAGCTTCCCCCATTGACTTCACTTGTCAGAAGTTAGTTGGGAGTTAGTTGCAAATGACAATCATGTGATCCCCGGGATGCTGCCACCATGGTAAATTGCATGCTAGTTGCCAAGCGGCTGAATTTTGATCACAGGACCAATGGGATGCTTGTGTGAGGATCACTGCCAATGTAACTTTGAACACTTGCTAAAATAATGGCTGTAAGTTGAGGACTACTTGTATCATGATTCTCCTCTTTAATTTGTGCCCTCCGAAGCGTCCTTAGCCAGGTTTTCTCCTGAACTCCCAACTTTTTTTTGCTTCCCTATCGTCGGGCCAGCTCCCTGCTCCCCACGGCATTTGGTGTGTCTCTTCTCTTAGAGATTGTTGATTGTACCCTATGACTATCATTAAGTGTTGTACGTGATGATTCTTAATTCTTAATGAATGTACCTTTTCTTTTATGTATACTGAGAGTATTTACACCAAGACCAATTCCTTGTGTGTCCAATCACACTTGACCAATGAAGTATTCTTTCTTTCTTTCTTTCTTTCTTTCTTTCTTTCTTTCTTTCTTTCTTTCTTTCTTTCTTTCTTTCTTTCTTTCTCTTTCTTTCTATCTATCTATCTATCTATCTATCTATCTATCTATCTATCTATCTATCTATCTATCTATCTATTTAGAGTTGTTGCCACCTTCCTGCCCCCTCCTGCTCCATCCTCCTCCTATTCCCAGGGCAGGTGTGTGGGACTGGGCGAGAGCTTTCAATGGGCAGAAGATCCCTTTAAGTACAGCAAAAACAAACCAACCAGTGGCAAATCTAAACCTACCTGAGGTAGCAGAGCTGCCTTGAAAGGTGGTGGTTTCCATTCCCGCCGTGTCCCAAAGTCCTGGCTTCTGGGTGGTATCAATGATCAGATTCCAATGAGTGCTTCTTATATGAGGATTTGGTTCTCGGGCGGTCACCCCTGACAGCGAAGGGGTGAAAGGGACAGGGAAGTGGTCATCTGAAATAGGCAGATTGGAGCTTGCTGGACTTTGCCTAAGGCCCTTCCCCATCAGTGGGGTAACTATGCCTTCCTGAGAGGGGGAAGTCACGGGTGGTATGGCCCCGTCTTGCCCAGGGAGATTCTGAGCATCTCCAGCTGCCTGAACCACAGGCCTGAGAGGAGATGTAGAAAGCTCTTCCTGGCCAAGGAGGCCACTGTAGACCTGTCTGCTCTTGTATGAAGCCAAATATTTTACTGTGGTTAGATTCCGGCCCAGCAGTTCCTGCTCCGGCACACTGTTTTCCAACCATCCCCTTGAAGCACCAACCTCAGGTTCGGCATCTTCCACTACCTCCCATTTGACAAGAGACCTGTTAACAGGGAATGTTGCCAAAGGAATGGTGGACACAGTGGGCCTGGGGCTTAAGGTAGTTGCTGGGAGGCCGTGTTTGAACCCTGCTTGGTGGAGATTGGGCAAGGATCCCTCCTGGGAGACAAGTAATTCTGAGGCCTCTAGTCTGGGTGAAGTGGGAAGAGGGGCCGCCACAGAGGTGGACATGTTTCTCTTTGATATGCTAGAAGAAGGATGAGGCAGCTTTTTCTTCCTCTGTTTTGGACTTCGTTCCCAACCTTGAGTACCCTCAACCTCTCCCTGAACATTGAAAAAGCCTTCGGTTGGCAGAATGAGACTCTCCTCAGTCAAGTGGGGAGCTAAACTTCCACCAGAAGAGCCAGCTGGTGCCCCCTTTGCAAGGAGCTTGAACTTCCTCTTGGATTTTGTAGCTCTAGGGTGGCCCACTGGACTGGCACCTTGGCTGTTCTCATTCTTCAATTCCCCGTCTCCACTAGAGAACTCATGGGCAGAAGCATCGGAGCGGGGAAGGACTGGCAGGGCCCTTCGAGGAGGGTCTTTGGAGGGGACTTCCAACTGAGGGGACTTAGGGACAGAATTCAGAGGCAAGTGCCAGGTAGAGTTCTCTGGAGTCGGGAGGTGCAATGCCAGGAGTAAGGCAGGAAAGAGCAGGCTCCAGACAAGGAACAACCCCAAGGCAGCCATCCTTGATGACAGACAGCAGGTCCCTCAATCTCCAGCGTGGTCACGGCTGCTCCTGCTTCATCCTGTGGATAGGGACATTTGTGACTGTGGGAATGAAGGCGTAAGAGGCCCATCTGAAGCCAGGAAATGGGAAAATATTAGGCAAAGGAAATAACAGTCCAATGACCAAGATTACAGCAGCCAGTTTGCTGGGAAGGGTACACAAAAGATGGGAGCTGGATGCGAAGGAAGGAAGGAAGGAAGGAAGGAAGGAAGGAAGG